ACTGGTGCCTCTGTCTCTATCATTTTTCATTCGTAATCAACATTCTGCCGCTTCTTCATCACCACCTGTTTATGTATTCGTCTAACTTTTCTACTGAATATGCATCCTCGGGAATAGTTAGAGTAAAATTTCCCAATTATTATTCTCACATGTCTACGCATGAAGCTCATTATGCCCTCACTGTACGCCATTTATTGTGAGACGAAAAATTGAGAATTATTCCGCCTTGGAAGTTCTTTTTCCACAATTGCCTATTGAGGTTTGCATTTGAGTAAATAATCTCTGCGTTCAGCAGTGCTAAATAACCATCCACCTACAGACATATTGTGAACTTCATTTTTGCATCAATCAAGAAAATATACCAAATTTCTCTACCTCATAATAAAGTAAAAATTAGTCAAGAAAAAATGGGTTTCAAAGACTCTCTTGTTTCATAATTGTTGAACTTACTTCCATTTTGAGTGAAAGTGTTGCGTGAAGAGATTCGAAGCTTGGTTCCACTAGAGGACGACCTACTTTTACAGGATACATATTCACTTTAGGCTGTTTAAGATAATGCCAAGAAAAGTTGGGTTTCGAGGAATGTCTTGTTTCATAATTGTTGAGCTTACTTCCATTTCGAGTAAAAGTGTTGCGTGAAGAGTATTCGAAGTACGGATCAACCAGAAGACGACCTACTTTTAAACGATACATAATCACTTTACGCTTTTTCAGAAAATGTGAAGAAATGTTGGGTTTCGAGTAATCTCTTGTTTTATGATTCTTGAGCTTACTTGCATTTCGAGTGAAAGTGTATGGTGAAGAGATTCGAATGTCGGTTCCACTAGAAGACGACCTACTTTTATAGGATACATATTCACTTTAGGCTGTTTAAGATAATGCCAATAAAAGTTGGGTTTCGAGGTTTCACAATTGTTTATCTTACTTCCATTTAGAGTGAAAGTGTTGAATGAAGAGTATTAGAAGCTCGATTCAACCCAAAGACAACCAACTTTCAAACGAAATATATTCACTCGAGGCTATTTAAGATAATGCCAAGAAAAGTTAGGTTTCGAGGAATATCTTGTTTCATAATTGTTGAGCTTACTTCCATTTCGAGTGAAAGTGTTGCGTGAAGAGATTCGAAGGTTGGTTTGATCAGAAGACGACGGCGGTATCCGCTTGACCAGCTGTCGATTGGCTTTACTGGAACATTCATGCTGGTGCTGTTTTCGAGGCAATTTTCTTTGATTCCGGTGAAAATGTGCTAAGCTTTCATGCCTCAAATGACGAACATCATCAACGCAATGTATCATCGTCACAACCAAATTCAACCTGACGAGTCTAGCAAACTGACCAGCAAATCTCTAAAAAGCTGTAAATATATTTGCTCTATATCTGGCCTCTTTGATGATGTATAAAGTATTTTGGTGGAACCGACCTTCGAATCTCTTCACGCGACACTTTCACTCGAAATGGAAGTCAGCTCAACACTAAAAATCCGTCGTTTCGCTATTGTGTAAGCAATCGGGACAACATTGTTTAAATCGTGAATTCTTTCTAAAACTTGCTCATGTAGACATTTGGCCAAATAGAGCAAAGCGAACCAGAGCCTTTGAATGACTCAAAAAGCTGATCATAGATGTTGCCGTTGAATGTGAAATAGGTCCTCTTTACCATCCTCATTTCATAATATTTCCCAAAAATTAGGCGATATTCAAGCACGCAGTAGTCAGGCGTCACTACCGATTGCATTTTTCAGACAGACATGAGCCGAAATGTAGAAAATTGACATTTGGTATGAAAGATGGAAGATAAACCTTTGAAATGTACCCTTAAAAGCACACTGTCGACTCGGTATGATTCTCTGTTGAGAAGAGACAGATCCAGAAAGTCCAAAAATATGCAATTCACTCATGCCGAATGACTAATCTTTTGGGTATGAAACCAAAGCTCATGGTTCGGGTTAAACACATGTGAAATAAAAAAGAGCAAAGTTAGACCACAATAATAGTCGGATGCTTTCCTGTAACTCACTTAATGCCTCAAA